TTTACAGAAGAAACAGGTAAAGTTTCTTGGTCACATAATGAGAATAGAGGACTTAAAAAGTTTGATACTCACAAGACAGTTTGAAGGTAAGAAAGAGAGAGGTAAGCAACGCATAACTTACCTGGCGAGATTGAATGAACAGACAGCTGAGTAGGGTTTGATAGAGATTGCAATAAGGACAAAATTTATTAAGAGGTACAAAGAACAGGGAATTGTGGAGAACCATGTTCGCCAATGTCTTGAAGATATACCTCACACAGAAAAAGAAGAATGGCCGACCAAACGATTTTGCTAGCTATTGCTCTCCACTGGGCACCCACTTGCAATTTATTAAGATTGGCTTATTCTAGCAAAAGAACACAAGTATAGCGCACCTATTAGGATCAGATTTCGTTGTCAGTAGAATGGTCGGCCCGAATAACACGTTAATCATTACACGAAACCGAAGGGTCCGGGTATCGGCAACTGTTGTTTGTCACGGTGATGGATTTAGTCGAAAGCGGATTCTACGTAATAAGAAGGTAAAAATTTTGAGAGACTCGTTCATGAACGCATAATATCGTAGAAAAATCACTTCGTTTATTAAACCACTTACATTCAGAATGCTTGAAAGAAAAAATGAAGCACGTTTGTCCATTACTGAAACGGCTTCGATATGAACAAATATATTAAGAGAAGCCCTCCTAAAACGGCCAGTAAAGTTCGTCTTACAGACCGATTTCCTGTTCTGATGCCCAATCCTCACTGTGTAGCCTATACATATAGTTTTGAGTCACCCAATATCCATTGAATATTTTCCATGTATTTTCATCCTACGATTTAAATCCGTTTCTGCCTTCGTTGGCAAAGTATTTATTTCTACTGACGTTCCATTACCAGCGACCTAACCCTGAACTTCGAAGAAGCGGCGTTCTCTCAGGGAGGGTTCGTGTTTTGAATGCCTCCTGGGCCTTATTCTTAACCCAGACCTTAAGTGGATCTCGTACATACATCTATCGCTAAAGATGTCGGAAAAACGGTTGTATCCCTTTACCGCACCGATAAGTACATGGCTCCTGTTATCCGCTACCGTTACAAGTGCCAGATCAGCCGGAAAATGAAGTACTGCTGTCACATATAGGCAGAAGCTATCCAATCTACTTTCTAGTTTCGATAGAGTCCAAAAACATCTCCGCGTCCTTGTGGATGATTATTTTCCATCGTACATAGGGAAACGTCGCAAGCCTCTCGCTGTTCTATCGCATGGAAAGTGTTCAGACAAACATTCGTTAGTTTCATCACATCTAGCGGCTAAGACACGCTATGCTACACACATTGTAACGAACAACCCTCATTCCCATCATATTTTATTTGTGAGATGTTACTTCCACTTGAGCACCCTCTTCCCACGAACCAGTGATTGCGATATCAACCCACAGTAGGATGCTTCCCTAATCACTATAATCTTAATCCGTTCAAGTCTAGGATTAAACATTACCTTCCCCGTATATATCTATAAACTATTCCGTTTACTATGTAACTCTGTACATCGAATGGCTCTGAGGCCTTTTACAGGATATACATCATTGTATAAAATCTTTAATTTTTAGGATTCAAATACCGTCAAAGGCTAAGACGCTACATGTGTTAAGACGCACTCTAATTTTCTAGGTATATTTTGGGAAACTGATATTTAAGGATTTAATGGTATATCTTCCTAGCAAGACCAAGGTGATTATTCTTGGTGTACATATGAAACGTAAGAGTCATGCTGTATTTCTTTGCTGGGGTTGGGAGTTGGGAATATATCGTGCTGTATGCCTAGATGAACTGAATACACACAGTGCCTTTAGGAAGTAGCCAACAGGTTATCACCAGTATTCGAAAAAAAAATGCTATGACACTAAGGGGATATATGGTATTTACTAAATATTATTTATAATTGTAGATTTATATTATACTAGCCGAATTACCCGCGCCTTGCTGCATGTAACACATTTTTTGTAAGAAAATGATGATTGATTTTAAATCATTTTATATTTTGTGAAGAAAAATGATGTATTTCAATATTACTCAATATTTCTGATGTGATCTCCATCTTCTGGCTTTCTCATTCTATGTTTTGGATATGAGCCATTCCTTTGTTCAACCTTAAATTTAATTTTAATCAAAGGGGGAACATTTCAGTGAGGGGGTTGTGCAAAAAAACAGTTTTATCGGACCTCCTTTATATATATTTGATGCTATCGTTGATTGAATGAATTTTTGAACAGATTTTAACATTGATATGACAGTTGAACTCCTCGCTACAAATATATATTGTAAGGCACTGCCCACTGATTGGTGATTTCTTGCTCAACTTGATGTCCATATTGTATCATTTTGATCTTGCCGATGTGACCTCCATCTTCTGGTTTTCTCCTTCTACTTTTTGGATAGTAGTCATTATCATGTTCAAATTATAAATTTAATTTAAATAAAAGGGGAAAACAATTTTTAGTTGGGTGATTGTTCCCCAGGGACCCTTTTGATTAAACTGAAATATATTCATCCAAGTACCCTAGGAGTCATTCCTTTGCTCAGATTTAGATTTAAATTATCAAAGGGGGAAAAACAGTAAGTGTTTGTACCCCCTTTCCTGGTGACCCCCTTTGATAAAATATACTTATCTAATGGGTAATGTAGCTTCAGAATATATATGGTTATGGAGGGGCCTATCTACCAAACCCTAGGGGGAGTCCGATAAGAGACAGACAGACAGTTGCTACAACTTTTTCTATTTATATATAGACGCCTGGGCTTTGTGATTGCTTGTATCATGTGACTAGCATTCGTTAGGGTTACAAACACTTCTCTAGAAGTTAACCTTTCAGTTCGACGACACAGGATAATTTTTGAGGACATATTTCAAGGACAAAACACACCTTCGCATACAAGAAAATAAGGTAATTGACTTTGGAGATGGCTTGTTAGAAACACCCGGGCTGCAAATAACCTTGCAAAACTTTTAAAGATTCATTGAACATTTAATTAGATTTCACTGACCTAGTTAGTCAGATATAAAGGCCAGTTTCAGTAAGACATTACCCGAGATATGCGTAATTAGATAACTAAATGTCAGACTAAAGTAAACAAAGATGTTAGTTATTAGGGTTTATATTTTCAGGAATAGTGATAAGCTTTTAACGTGCATATTAACTTATTATCTGCATATTAAACCTACAGGCTTTGAAACTCCCCTTAACTTTGGCAACAGGCTGTCTTTGGAATATTAATAACCTTAATCGAGTATTCTCATTGAAAAGGTTCTGAATTCATGTCACCTCTTTCTTGTGTTAAATAACAGAGTAGATTCTGTCTCGGCGAAATATAAACTCATTCCATCATATTTACCCATTTTATGTATAGGAAAGTCGCAGAGTAGACCGAATTATCTGACCATAGAAAGATCCTGAGAGCATCGAAACGGTCTATGTATTATCTGCAAGGAAAACGCAATCTTCTATCAGAAAGAGGAAGCTGATATCTGTAGGATATAGAATGAAAAAAAGAAGGCTTGGAGAAATTAATACCCACAAGCAATGTTAAAGGGAAGTGAATACCATGGAGAGAACATGCGAATAGTGATGGAGTTTTAAGAAGAATAGAGTCTACTGCTACCACTCAAAAAGGGCCACTGAAATGTCTGCGAAACAAATTGAGAAAAGAATGATTATATATTGTAACACTCACAAGATTTGAAAACGGCAAAAGAATATTTGAGGCGGATCGTATGGGTAGCTAGGAAGTTTTAAGAAGAATAGGAACCGCAAGAAAATGTTAAAATGTATGCAAAACATAAAAAGAAAAGAGAGCTGGGAGAATTTGACACTTACAGGGCATATTGAGATGGAAGTGAAAACAGTCAATCAGCTACCTGTCTATATTTCTGAGATGAGGTAATATGTACACTATTTACATTATTCGGAATATTGTCCTCATCTTTGTCGCCATAGTTATTACAACGTTTCGGTCGTTGTACGCTCCGGCCTTCTTCAGGTGGTTGGAATGTCGAACTGAACCCTTTATTTCGCTCACTGAGGTAGACTGTTTTAGTTCCACGTGCCATGTCTAATAGATGTCAGTTATCATTTATCTCCCGTCAATTCCCCTCTCCAAGTTCTCCACTGCCTTAACCCACATTAACTCACATTCTTTGGGTCCTGTCATTGGATCTAACTAGCGTTATCTTTAGATGATATTATAAAAAGCAGATGATATTATAAAAAAAAGCATCGTCTACAAGTGGAAAATGTTGGAGAATGGAGTGAGATTTTACTTCTCTCTAAAAGTAATAGTTTGCGATGTTAAGTCACTATCTCTTCTTTAAAATAATTTCTTTCTTTTTTTCTTAGTAATTTGATAAAGTTACGTAAGTCTAGTAGAAAGGAACCTCGTAGTCATTAACTGGACTGCAAGATTAGTTTGTTTCACAAAAAAGTGTTTATGGCTGTAATGTAGCTTTCCTGGGCCTTTTCTATAAACACGTTCATGGTAATTCTTCTAGTGACCTTTCCTCCATTCTATCTACACTTTATAGATTTTAGCGCAGTACTAGTTTGGCACCAAGGTCACATCATTTTACATTTGGCGTTGCTAGATATAACTGTAAGTTCTATGTTGAAATTTTCTTCTCTCGCACTTCTTGGTCGTGTAAATCTCTTCTGTTTTCTTGCTTCCGAATAAATTTTAATTTAAAAAAAAATTAAATGCAAAATCACTGGTTAACTACTGTCACCTTAATTCGTGTTCTTTTATTGTTCTCTCTCCTTAATATTGTTTTTCTCATATTCTCTAACACTCCTTGCGGCTTAGTGACTTTATTGCCTTGCATGGGATGAAATAATTAAAAAGAAATGTTAGAATGAACCGTCTAGCAGTATAAGAAACAGTAATAACTGTTAGTTGTCTGGAGAAACCTAATTTCCTTAAAAACTGTTTTTGTCATATTCTGCTTAGGGTGTAATGAAAAAAAACACATAGGTTGAAACACTGGTTCTCATACTATCACCGAAGTTAAACAACATTGAGCCTGGTCAGTACCTAAATGGGTGACCGCTTGAAATTTCCAGGTGTTGTAAGCTTGGATGTTTGGTTAGTGTAATGGATACCGGACCTGAGTCTGACGTCGGAGAATAGAGTTCCAATTCCAGTGGGTCCGTTATATTCTCTTACGTACAATTATCATTGGGAAAGGTATGAATCCACATCTTTCCTACCCAGCTAAGGGTTAATTAGTGGGACATGTATTAGTAGATCTTTATTATCTTCAACAATATTTACAATGTAAAAATAAAAATTCTGGATTTAGATAAACAGCAAAAGACACAAAGAACGGTGAGTTCAATACAGCAGAGGTGAATAAAAACTTGGAGAATTGGATTAGAGGGAGATAACTGATACGGAGACATCCAGAGGAGGCATGGCACGTGGAACAAGAAAAATCTAACCCGGTGGACGAAATAAAGGTCTCTGTTCGAAATTCAAATCTCCGAAGAAGACTGGAGCGTACAACGGGCGAAACGACGAGAATATGGCAACAAAGATGAGGACAACAGTTCGAACAAAGTAAGTAGTGTATAGAATCTACAAAAAAGTTTGATAAACCGTCAAAAAACAAACAAAGATATTATTTAATCAATCAGTCAATTCACAACAAGATGGCCATTCTTTCAGCTTAGCTATGCCCAAATTTGAAACAACAATGATGAATGTTACCACTTCAGTAATAAAGGGTCCACAAGATTAGATGATTAACAATTATACTCTGTCAGTGCCCTCTGTGTATTGTCAGAAATCTTACCCTACTCGAGTACTATACATAGAGGATCTAAGGCACGCATGTGCGGGTATCATAGCGGTTACCGACACAGGAAGGTTAATAGGCGTGCCAATTTCAAAATTTCGTTGCGTTCACTTTCACACTAATACGCAGGGTGAACTTACGAATCCGCCTTTTCTGTCCTCACTTATGGATTAAATAACAGTGTGAATTGAACTCTGTAGACCTATTTTGCAACCAGTCTAAGGGTAACTCCGATTTCAAAAAGAGGATGGGAGTGGGGAGGCCAACTCCCCCCCACCGTGAAAAATTAAAAAAAAACAATACTTGCAACAAAAAACAACATCAGTAACGTGGCAAAAAGGAAGAGCAGATGGATGTCATGAAAGGGGATTCAACGCAAAACATTGACTTTTCTTTCTGCAGACATAACGCGCTAAACACGACGGCTAAGCGCTCAATTTATAAAAACCAAAAATAAAAAAATAAAAAAGTTGAAATCGATTTATATGTGGACGGGAAAATAGCATTTCAACAAAGTGGCAGACGGTTGTCAATTTTGAGAGAGGTGAAAGGTTAACTTCTTCAAATAAATCCAAACGAGGTGCTGGCTGGCTCACCAAAATTGCTTTTGTTTCGGTCGTAGTTTTTTTTCTCTTTAAATGCAGAGAAAAAACAGCGCATAAATTTTGAAACAAAATCCTCTATTTAAACGCTTCGTGATTTTAGAAGAACTTCTCGCGTCGGGATTTTGTCTTCAGATTAAAAAAAGAAAGATTATTTCCTAAAGTTAATTGAAAAAATACGCTATATCGATTTGATAAAAGTTTGAAAATCAAATCGTGCTTTTTTTGCTCTTTAAAAAATTATTTTTAGCAGATGGCTCCGTCTGTTACAAGACTTTTGAAGATACTGTTATTGTGAAATGGAATATTGTTCTGTTTTTTTTTTTTAAATTCATTCAACGAAATATATAATTACGGCATGATAAAAATATAACCAATAACTGTTTGATCGACACATTGTTTGCTTAAAAGATACTCCTTAACCCTATGGTCGTCAATTCTGCTGACTAAAAGATATAATAATACAATTCTGCTGACTAAAAGATATAATAATAATATGGTCATCACATCTGCTTGCTTAAAAGATAGGCCTTAACTGTATGGTCGTCACACCTGCTTGCTTAAAAGATAGGCCTTAAGTCTATGGTCGTCACATCTGCCTGCTTAAAAGAAGGCCTTAATATGGTCGTCACATCTGCTTGCTTAAAAGATATCTATATGGTCGCTTGCTTGCTTAAAAGATACAACTTTAATTCCATGGTCGTCACTTCCGCTGACTAAAAGATAGACCTTAACTGTCTGTTCGCCACATTGAAAGATAGTCCTTATAATTATGAACAAGATGTCATTTTTTATACTAAATATCACCCAAGTCTCAAGAACCCATAATTATAGAGGATCGCTGACTGACGCCTGTGTGATGCAAATATAATAACAGGCACAATGAAATTATGATTAAGAGGATAGGGAGTACAGATAGCCCTTGACCTTAGAGTTGAAGTGATTACGTTTCTAGTGTTCCGGAAAGCCTCATCGCGAGCGCTGGTTCTGGGAGAAAAGGAGTGGTTCTTGGAAAAAAATTGGTCCGAGTTAAACTTTCTGTTTACTCGTGGAATACAGGAATACATAGGAAATGTGTCTGATTCGAGAACATGGTCATAGAAATAGCGAGTTCTATATATATATATATATATATATATATATATATATGCATATATACTGGTGGATATAAAGAGTAGCTGATCTGAATATTTGCCATGTAAATAGTCATAGATCAACGATATGTTTGCAATATTGCGTCTGTTGACAAAAGGTCAAACAGTAGACTATAAAGCTAGTTCTATAAAGGTTGGAAATTGTAGATCAGATATTGGCAACAATATTCCATCTTTGATTTGATCTGCTTACCAGGATCTTTAGCAATAGATCTTTTATAAATATATAATGATGGACTCTCTTGCCAATTTGAAGATCCGACAACCTCATTTAGTTTTCATGATTGTGTCATATGTGACACTTCAGTCCTGTTAGTGACCTGCATACAAATCCACATATTGTGCAAGAGCGAGGAGATCTGGACATAGCAACATGAATATTTGTTAACGCTTTTCTCCTTTTTTTTTTCGTCTCTTAGCCAGTCAATACAACTCATTTCGAAGTTTCTGATATCACTCTGGCACAGATATCACCAATTATTTCTATCCAGGACAACTCGCTTGAAGTTAGTTGACAGCATGAGAGGTTACTATTTAGCTTGTCTTTATATCTGAACCAGGGCCGTTAGAACAATTATTTGTCCACTGTCAAGCTGGCTTTACATGGGGACCTTAGATAATCTGCCGTCACTCATCCTTGCAACATGACTATAGCGAGGTTTTGACTGCATCAGAAAAGTCGCAACCAATATTGCGTTTTGCGAGATCAGAACTGGACGCCCTATCGTCAAATTTATGGCCAAAACTCGCGGGGAGAAACTTGGAAGACATCCAGCTGATTGGCATGGGACCTATATGGGGTCCACGATTCCGAGGAGTACAACACTGTGGCCACAATGGCTGGTCTATAAATCCGTACTTTGGTGAACTATTTGATACCTCTCTCTTTTTTCAGTAGATTTTAGAAAAGGGTCAATAACTAAACCGCAGAACAATATATATATATATATATATATATATATATATATATATATAATATATATAAGGGAACAGTCAGTGAAGTCAACACTCAGGTGGCCTGACGACTGCGTCTAGCGTGAAACAGCCTGTCGCCTCTGAGTGTCGACTCCTATGTTCACTTTTATTTTTATATTTACATACGCTCTCTCTCTCTCTCTCTCTATATATATATATATATATATATATATATATATATATATATATATATGTGTGTGTGTGTGTGCATGTATGTGAGTAAGTGTATCTGTGCGTGATGTGGCTGTGTGTGAGAGAGAGAGACAGAGAGAGACAGAGAGAGAGAGAGAGTTTCAGTTGTGTACAGTAATTCACCATGTATAATACGCCTTTTTTATAAGAATAATAAGTAAAATTAGGGGTGCGTATTATGCACAGCTACAAAATTTTTTTTTTCAAATTGCCGTTTCATAGGTCGATTTCAGTTACGAAATGACTACTCACCACAAATATACGACAATTTCGCACTGACATTCGGCGATTGCGACCCTATAAGGTTTTCAAATGCAATCATATGTATCTAAAAATACTTACAAATACAAAAAAAGAATTATAAAAAACTAAATTAGAATAATATTATTCTATGTTTAAAACTATTTTTAATAAGAGTAAGTAACGCTGGTTGAATTGAAATTGGAAAGGTACAATTTTTAGGGTCTAATTGCCAAACAAGGGGTGTGTATTATAAAGCAGAAGCATTTCCCTACAGTTTCAGTACAATTTTAGGGGTGTGTTGAAGGCGTATTATACATGGGAATTAAGCTAATTGACTTTTTAGAGATATTAAAAACAAGTAGCATAGAAAAAAAATCAAGTTGTAATATAAGTTTCCTCATGCTTTTATTAATAATAAAAAACAGTTAATCAATAGACTATCATTATGTGTTGCAATAATCATGTAATATTTTTTTATTATTTAAAATAATAAAAACATTCAAAAAGGATTAGATGTCAGTATTTCTTCAATGTGCTGTGAAACCGCAGCACATCGCAGCACATCGCAGCACATCGCGATAATGTCTCCCTAAAATCCCCCACCTCATGACAGTCTTTTATTTATCTCTTAGGAAATTTTCTCATTTTGTTATCCCTACTAAACGTTGTTCCGAACTGCATTCACTCAAACTCGCTAGGTAAGTTAAGCACAGTTTTTTTTTGACCCTCTTGACGTCACTCAGCCTCGTGGGTATCAGACATTCCAAACCGTCTGTCCTCATAATGTTCCTAAGAAATTTCATCTCTCTCTTCCTGATTTTAAATGTAAGTGTCCTTTTCTTTCAGTTTTCTCTCAAACATCTTCATTGCTCACATGTTTGGTCTATGGTATTCTCAGCACCCTTCTGTATATATATATATATATATATATATATATATATATATATATATATATATATATACAGAAGGGTGCTGAGTATATATATTTCTGTTACTTCAAGTAACTTCTCCATCAGAGCGGAGATTGTTCAACATTCTCTGCCATATAAGAGGACTGATATGCAACAGTTTAGTACTCTTTTCTTTGTTTCTAACGAATTTGTTTTTCTC